TGACTGTGACGGAGATGAGGAATTAAACTTCTTAGATCATATAGTGCCATATGCAGTGTGTTACAGGGTGAATGTCATGTGTACTTTGAAAATGACACAGTTCTGATCGTATATAATTATTTTTTTCTAAAAAAATTATAAATAAAGGATACTCTGAAGCGTTCGGAGATGATGCTGAATAAAGGTACTTTCCTAGTTGTTATTAGAAAAGCATGAATTCTTCAGCTATAGGTGGTTTAACTGTACAAGAATGGACTGTTTCTTACTATATGGTCCCCTTCAACCAAAATAGTTTGATCCATAACTTGTTATGTCATTTTGCTAACAGCTATAATGGCATTTTAAAGTATTGTGACGGAGATGATGACAATTCAGGGACAAACTTTTTTAGTCTAAAAAAGTCAAATTTTAAGTATTTATAGATCTATTGATGTCACTTTTAATTTTAAATTTGTAAGACATTTATTGTATACCTTTTTGTAGTACATTTATTTATTTAAATATTTATTTTAAAAATTATGACATTAGGAATTTTTAAGAAATCCAATCGGGACATGCAAAGTGCACGACTTTGGAGGCTTTTTGTTGAAAAATAAACAGCATGTTGATTACTTTTAAAATATTTAACAACTTATTTCATTAACAAATATGTTCGAGATTGCATTAACGCAATAAAAATAAAACTTCCGTTAATATTTTAAAGCTTATACTACATCAAAACAGAGGGACGGGAAAATGGCACTTTACCGAAGAATGACCCAGCTAGGGCCTGGCGTATTAAAATACACCACTGCTTTTTATACGTTCTTTAAAATTCAAAGTTTTTTCCTCCTGAAAACGGTAAATTTTTTCTATTCTTATTACAGTAAATAGACCTGTGTGCACAGGTTTACATACGTTGCATACGTATTCTGTTCTCCATGAATCAGTGAACCTCAAAAGGGGGTGGGGGGAGTGCGCGCGGTCGGGAATCTTCCCTGAGAAGATTTTGGCTCCTAGATTGCGGGGAAAGAGCTTTCCCGACCAAAAAAAAAAGTCAGCTCAAGGATCCTGAAATAGTAGGTCTAATATTTTTTTTATTTTTTTTTGCCCAAGGAATTGGTATCAGGACCCCGACCTTACAGATCCACCAATGTGAATTATGAGAAAATGTAACTTGGTCGGGGATTGGATAAACCCTCCTTTTCTTCTCTCCTCCTCCTCTTTCTTTCTTTCATTTCTTTCCGACAATACAAAAATCTACATAGACATATATTTTCTGCCAAAAAGTGCAGGCCCCATTTCTGCCGACCATGATATAAACAATGTATTATGCACAACTGTAATTTACGATTCTGCCATGCTGTAATGTTTCTTTTAGCTGTGCTGAGGATATGTAAAAATCGGCTCAAATTTGAGTTTAAAATAGCTATGAAATTAGGTGCGCAGAATCGTGATTTGCTTCATAATTAATTGCATTTGGTTATATAAAGATTTGGTCAAAACCTAATTCAACAAAATTTTCATGGAAACGGCCCTTATTTTCCAAAATGCGCAGACAGATTTCTAGGCTAAATTTTTGCGCAGAGGATATGTTACTTCCTAGTGATTTTCTGCACAAATTTGAGCTGGTTGTGGGGGAATAATCATCAGTGAAGTGCAATTAATTAAAGAATGGAACATATGCAGTAAAGGGTGAGGGACACATTTACCAAAGTATGTTTTGGTCATTTCAGATTTCAGTGGGTCAAACACATTCATATGAAACACCATTGAGTTTGAATATCTAAGATGTTTCACCTTAGTTTGGTAAGGCCTAGCCCTATTCGCAAAAACCAAATGCTATAAATAGTCATGGTGTGATTGATTCGGAAAAACCAAATGCTAAAAATGGATTACAGTTAATAAGCCTTTTTCACGCTGCAGTAGACATGTTCAGTCAATTGATGACAAACAATACTAAGCAGCATGGCGTAACCAACAGACATAACATATTGTTTCGGCCATATTTTTCTAGGTCATGTTAATTAGAAAATCATAACTCCTGAACGGAGGGTCATATCAACATAATTTTTTCTTTAAAATATTTGCCAAGGATATGTCTACGTATTGATGAATAAAAAAAATTGTCAAATTGTTCAGTCTGTCAAAACTTAACTGAAAAATAGAAAGCCGATTTTGAAAGTGTGTGTGCCATTATAGCACTATTCGACCTCGGGCCTAGGCCATCTATATTTAAACTATGACCTAATATTAAAATTACCTAAAAATGTATGTTTTATATACCACTATTCATAGATTTTAATCATTTGATTGGTAAAAAGCAATTTCAGGTACGACAGTAATTTATGACATTTTCTACACTGAACTGTGTATACTATCATCAGAGTAGCTGTATTAACAGTTGCAATCATACCAGTAAAACTTCGTACTACTTTAGTACACAAAAATTTCCACATTAAAATATGAACAGCTGAACCTAGTACAATACGATTTAAAAAATAAACATCAAATATAAAAGAAGAATAAAAATGTGAAGAGACTTTTAAATATAGCAATGATTTGTGTAAGCGTATGAATATCCAGCTTTATAGATATTTTTTTCATCTTGTCCCCTCGAGGCTCAGCATAATATTCTTCATCGCTATGTACAAGTGAATTGGAAGCAGAGGGAAAAGCCCAATGTTTATTGACCGGCTAGGCAGCAATGACACCAGAAAATTGCCGACAAGGACACCGTCTTGACACACAAGACGGAGGGGTCCGTACCCAGGTGCTGACAACCATTCCCTGGTAGGGTTCATGGGGGAGAGTTCATACAGTTTATGATGGACAAAAATGTTCTTTTCGACAACATTATTGGTGGTTGGCAATCAAAATAACGTTATTTAGATAGACAGATTATTATTTTTAAAAATTTTTGATCCAACAGCCTAGTCTTGCATCTGACAACAGGTGGATCAAAGGTCTGTCCAACAGGCATATGGGAAAATTTCCCCCTGCCCTGGCGCCGCTACTGCGGCAAGGAGGGCATGGCTAGAGCTGGCTTTTACCCAATGAAATGTCTAGGATCTACAGTTATGTGATCGGTATGTTATATAATAATAATTCACTTCTTGCTACATAATACATTTATTTTATTTGAAATCCTGTAATTGATTTTATAGGAATATATATTCAACTAAAAGATGAGCTAAAATGTGATGCCACAATTCATACAAGGCTTGTGGAGGTTGGATACTGAGGCAGAGTTGGGGGGGGGGGAGATGAAATCTATCAGCTAAGTCACCTAGAGGTAAGTAATATTTTAGAACACATTCACCTACTAAAAGTGATGGGAAATTTAAGGTGTCATAATCTGGAATATGTCAGTGAACTTTTTCAGTGAAATTTCTGCCTGACATTAATTACTATGGGTACTGGGTGTAAGTGGCAATTTGGTGCAGCGGTTGAGGTGTAAGCTTCCGATTTTAAGGTCAGGGTTTCGACTCTCCGCTGGGCAGATTCACTTGCGTCCATGAGCAAGGCAATTTTACTACAATTCTTCAGTCCACCCAGCTGTATCAATGGTGGTTAACCTGCAACATACAGTACTAGAGAACAACTTTCATCAGCTTCACACTACAGAAACTGGGGATAATCTCCAGCCATATGAGCCTTACTGTAAGAGCTCAGAATTTAGTTTAGTTTATACTAGGTATAGATACCAGGTATCCTTTCATAGTCCAAAGCTTGGGTACACACTACACCAACAGTCATTGGCCGACGCAGTCCCATAGACAACGTGTGCACTACAGAAAGTTTTAATATGACAGGTTTTGGGAAGATGCCTTTAAACGGTATTTGTGGTAATTGTAAAAAGGTCACAACCAAACTAGTATCTGTAAACACAAGGTTCACATCTACTAGAATATTTAATGTTAAGTCAGTTATTTGGAAATTTACATTTCTACATAATTTTCCCATGATCTACCTCTAGGTCACTGTGCATGCCTATTTCAGAGTTAAAATTAATGCGAAAGAAAAGAAATAATAATATTATATTATTTAATCTATTTTAGTGTGAAAGTTTGTGAAGCTCAACATTTGGAGTAATATTGTACTGTATAGTCCATTGCTGTGAAAGTAGAACATTCAAGAAGGATGAAGGATTCAGGTAGAATAATTCTTGTCAATATACATTATAGATCTGCTATTTAACACACCAAATCATCAGAAACTGTTCATGAGGTGCATCAGTATCACTACACTAATAACAGTAGCAGTCATACAGATCCTGCAACCTCTTCATCAAAGATAGGTGAAAACCACAGAAAACTAAAAATAAAAACAAAATTGTAAAATGCATCATTCCAAGCCATGCATGCATTTAACATAATTTGCATTCTATATGTATTCCAATTACTGCTTTAATAATACAACCATTTGCAAGATAGATATATTCCAGATTAATAATAAAGATTTTCAGTTATTTTAAAGTAAATTATGTAGTAAGAATGTTTTTCTATACATCTTGCTTAGTATACGTGAATCTTGAATCATTTTATTTTGAGAATATCTCATCCTTTACCTTTTTAAATTGTTTGCATGTGAAATTTGCACATGCAGAACAAGTTTGTGTTTATAGGGAGAAATTGATAACCTGTAATGTAATAATCAAATGCTGAAGAATAAATTATTAACAATACACTGTCTTGTTATTTTCGACTGGTATTGCTATCATTTGCCCACAGACTTCTTGTCGATGTTGGGGCAACTCTCTGAGGCAATCAGCAAGAAAGGTGAAAAGTATGTAGACCTGTTGAGGGTTCTGTACAGAGATCTTGCAAATGTTAAATCAGATTTGAAGAAAGCTAAGTGTGCATTTGATTTATTTCAATTGCTAATAGCACCTGGCATTTTGAAGCCAACAGACATTTCAATTTTGTTTGAAACAATCGAACTAACTGGATTGAAATATTTGATAGAGATAATCCAGAGATATGAGACATATCCTGATGAAGTGAAGATCACTCGATTTTCACCACATCGTCAACAGGTTGTTGCTCTGGGAAAAGACTTTTCAGTTAAAGATCTCCAGAAAGTTAGTCAGTTGTACGAAGGCAATTTTTCTAGTCCATGGAAACTGATTCAACATCTTGAAGATACGTCTGTTTTAACCGAAAATAGTATGTCTTCATTTCTTCAACGTTTGAATGAGAATAAAGTAAAGGAATGTACAGGTTAGTAATAAATATAGAATATCACATTTATCCATGCCTTTTGGACATGGCATTATAAGGTAGCTCTACTTTTGTATTGAGGTAGTTCTTTAGTACTGTCGTTTACAATATGTATTTCCAATTTAATTATTAAATTCAATGAGATTTACTGTAGTCGTCATCATGAACTGCAGTAATGAGAATATGCCATTTCAGAATGCCAACTACTGTAAAATCGAAGTGATAATTGAGTATAGAAAAATAATAACAGATAAACAATAAATATAAGATTTCTTTAAATTTATATAGGCCTTATAGAACCTTGACTTGACGAAAGTTCTAGAACTAAGGAAGCTAACACTAAGGTACATAATGCTTTTTTTTTTTAATATGAAATACATTTCTACGTGTATATTTGCAGAGGCGGATTTAGAAAGGGGCATGGGAGCACATGTTCCCGGTTTTGCTGCTGCCGGTGCTAGCTTACTTTTAGCGCCCAAGTTCAAGGTAATTAGATTCTGTCCTCAGATACTAGACCTCAACAAACCAAGACAATTTGGTTGTACATTCTTTATATGTTTAATTTCAAATCATCAAACAATATATACCACAACTCGTTTTTATTCATTAACATGGTGTGGTATATAACACAATTTACATTATTTTTAGATTTTCTTATATTTTTCACATAATATATATTTCACTTTCAACAACATGCAATATAAGATGCGCAGATAATACGTCTACAAAATGACCATATTTAACATATTTTATATTTAGGTTTATATTTGATAATAACTGTGTCTATACAAACTTATATTTAAACAACCAGATATTAATACGCGACTGTCAAAGTATTAGGCTTATTTAAAGATGTGCTCCAATTTCAAATCTCATTGAAACCATATTACTTTTGCAGTGATGTATCATACTGGCGAATAATAAGAGTCGCAACACACGAATCGGCGCACGTAGTTGCTCCTTCACCTTGTATAATAATAGTTCTATCAGCACAACCATTGACCAAACAGTAAAAATCCCAACAATTAAGTGGTTCACTGAGCAATAACCAAATCAACAGACAAACAAACAGCACAGTAACGCTGCAATTCAACATCAAAAACATTGCATAATGATATCGTTAACATAGTCATCATTATCGTCTTTTATCATAAAATGCATTCATTAACAATAACATTGCTAATTTGACCATTATGTATGTATATATATATATATATCTGTCTATCAAAGCTTCACGATAATAATATCTGTTTTAATATTTGGACATTATAAAACTTTTCATAAAACATTGTTACTTTACATAGGCCTATATTTATGATACCACGTCTGAATGACATTTGAAACATTTAACAACGCATTTCCCAAATATGCATATATCCATGATTTATTTTAAACTAACGTTATTATATATTCGTATTTTGCATTTGATATTTTTTATAAACTCACTGAAACAATAAAATCACGTTTTTGATAGTAACTTATTAACATGACGTCCATTTTAAAGTCTCCGGACTTCTATCGTCACTTTAGGTGACACACACATGAACCACGTCATTTAACATTTTTTGTGGCAAGAACGACGGAACACCAGTTTCACTCGCCAAAATTGTACTATACAATTTAACATGATAGGCTTGCAAGACGCGCAGGCTTTACACCTATCAAACTATGGCACACTGGTTTCTTTTATTAGACATATGATAGGCCTGCAAGACTCGCAGGCTTCCACCTATCACAATTTCTGATAGGCATGCAAAACGCGCAGGCTTTACACCTATCAGACCACGTCCGTCACTCTTTAAATGGCAAGTTAGTATGAATTTTTACACGCGGTATTGAATTAATTGATGA